ACACACACACACACACACACACACACACACACACACACCCCTTCCCTCTTTCTACTTAGATTTAATTAGGAATTTCATGATCTTCATTTTATCAGAGTTCAGTTTTTGTTTTGTTTTTTTAAGGGCTTGGTGGGAGCAAGTACTAATGTACCTCTTTTGACAAGTTATATGCCTTCTTGAATTTTATGGTTGCTGTGAAAAGAAAAGGAGGAATTTGGGGCACAAGCACAAAGGAGTGATAACCCAAACAACTCCTACCACCAAATTACTTGAATATAACCGCTGGATATTTCTCCCCTAACAACAAAAATCATATTAAGGGCTGAAATTACATAGAAGGTTATTTTGTGTGCAGCTGTTGAGTTACTAAAGAATCTAGACTTGGTATTGTCAAACTACTATACCAGCCTTCTCAGTGCAAATCAAGCCCTAGAGTGCTTTTCTTCTTGGCTGTCACTTGGATTTCCCTTCATACCTGATTTTCCATTGGAAAGGCAGACACCACTGACCTAGGGCTGCTTCTGTGTTTTTGTTTTTTGTTTTTGTTTAATTTAAGCATGCATATGAGAAGCTACTGCAGATAGAATGAAGTTTTGCATTTTTACCTGTGCTTAAAAGTGTTTTTCTGTTGACTGATGCTATACTGATTATATGAGAGAGTTGGGGTAATTCAGTTTTGTTCTGCCTGGACTAGCACCAGACTCTGAGTCCCATTTCCTATAAGTACGGGTTATGATTTCCTGATCCTAATATTTCTACATAGTGCAAGGCACAAACTTGTACAGGGCCAGAGTTTGGAGTATTTTGGGAGGGGACACATATTTTGCTGTTAATGCACCAGTTAAACTTGTTTCTCATTCCAATGGTGTTATTTCATTGATAGTTTTCTTCCCCATGAGCACTGCAGCATTTTGCCTGCCTTGTCTGCTACTGTATGGTAACACAGCACTTCTTTGTATTGAACCCTTTTTTTGGTTTGCCATCCTTCAAGACACTTGCTGGGACGACATCAACTTTTTCTTTTTAGTTTTCTATAATTCTGATGTAAAGGATTTTCTCTGTACAGTATAATGATATTCAAGTGCATGTTCTGCTTTCTTCTATAATGAATCACCACACAGTTGAGACTTTTGCAACAGGGCAGCCGCACAAATCCCTGCGCCTTTATCCCTGTATAAAGGAAAGAAACGTTTCTTTCCATTCACTGTACTTGCTTGAGCAGAGTTTTAATTGTCTGTAAATGTGAGCTGTGAGATAGACGTGGAAAAAAGTTTAAAGAGAATGCATTCTCTCCTGCCCCTTCCCAATGTATACAGATTGTAACCTGTACAATGAACTGTATGTATGAAAAATGTACTTATTTATAAATGGTTAATACTTGGAAATGGTGTGTTGACTACTGTGTTGAATACGTCTTCCCTGGAGTTTCAAGATGGTGGAATGGAAAAGGCATGTGGCTTAAAGATGCATCTCCTCAGTTAATTGGCCAGCAGTTCCATGTTAAGCTTCCACTCCATAGTTAACAGCACAGCCTGCATGCCAACTTCTTGTAAATTACACTCCTTCCCTGTTAGCTTCAACAACTCCCAATGCAAACACTCCTATCATTTGCCATTGACTCAGTAATGTTGAAGGGGACACTTGCCAATAGACAACTGGACTTCTGGGTATATATCATATTTAAACCAGTTGTGATTCTATATGTGGCTTTACATTCTAAATGGGAATCTATTACACATTCATATTTAGCCTTGGATCTTGAAGTAGAGATCCAAATTAATAATGGGTGCAACTTAATGTATATATTATAGTGGTGAACCCACTGTGAACATACAATCACTCCTTTAGTTACACAATCTTCTAATCAGGATTAATTTGTCTTTCTTGTTTTCAGCAGAAATTGGATCTATGCAACACCAACTGGCTAATGCTGACAAACGATGTACACTACAAGGGATGTACAGATCAGCCTATTTTTAGACCATTCCAGTTACACATATTTATTCACATGTCCATTCCATATTCTTTTTCCATATGTCTAATGCTTACAAACGATGTACACTACAAGGAATGTACAGATCAGCCTATTTTTAGACCATTCCAGTTACACATATTTATTCACATGTCCATTTCATATTCTTTTTCCATATGTCTTTTACCATATTCTTTTCTAAGCATTTCATATACATTGTACTGTAAAGTGTGTTTTTCTACTACTTCAGTGTAAAATGTACATTTTATACACATCTCTAGGTAACTGTGAATTTTTGTATGTTTTTTGATACATTTTAAAGTTGATAACTATTCAAAATTCAGAGATGGACAAAGGTCACATGTACTCCTCAAGTGTTGAACAAATGTTTGGAGAATCATGCAAATGCTGCAAGAATTTAAAAATCAAGCCTGAGAGCTTGGTGTGGGAGGTGACATAAGAAATAATAAATGTTCAAATTGAAGCATATATCTTTGCAGGAGTGAAGAGAAGCTGAGGCCACTGCATAAGCCAAAAGAATTCCACAGCTGCTTCTGTTCCCAGGTATGCCTTTACAAGACAATTGCTAGTTCCAGAATGCAAGTTAGTCATACTTATATGAATTATCAGTGCCCTGCCCTCCGATAGAAAAATGTTCTTGTCGGGCACATTGCAGAGATCTTGTAGAATGTATCAGCTATTCCAAACTGATCTGTATTCATTTTCTAGCCACCTTATAGTTAGTCAGTATACTTTTTTAATGGTTGAGCCTTTAGTTCACCAAGTATATTGGGCATAACCAAAGACTGCTGAAAAAACAAAGCTAGACTGTAAAGTGTTGCATTAATGCTTACTTGGAATTAAGTTAATTAAGTTTAAGGCAATGGAGTTCACTCCCACATAAGAGTTTCAGTGTCTAGATACAGAAGTCCTAGCTGTGCTTTGGGAATTGCTTTAGCTGACACAACCAAAAGGCTGCACACTTACTCCAGATACTGAAAACCAGTTCTTCCAACAAATACAAAATATATGGCCAATACAACAAAGAACTGGCTTGTATTAAAGCAATATTTGGATCAGTGTTTTGCACTGTATTAATTAAATTATCTTTCATTCTGTTAGCTTTTTTCTGATGTGCAATATGTGGGATATAACTGCCAAAAGTGAAGAAAGAGTTTCAATTCAGATAATAGCAACAAGACAGATTGTAAAATTCAGGACTTCTGTAACACCACGATAATGGACTAAGTCCAATCTCTCCTCATAGGGCTTTGTTTCCTGTCCCTACATCTTCCTTGTCCTTCGCTGAACCCTTTCCAACTTGTCTGCATCTTTCTTAAATTGTGGTGCCCAGAACTGGACACAGTACTCCAGATGAGGCCCAGCCGGTGCTGAGTAAAGGGAAATTAGAATTTCACAGGCCTTGGAAGTGAAACTTCTTTTAATGCAGCCTAAAAGAGCACTTACCTTTTTTACAGCTACATTATATTGTTGACTAATATTAAGCTTGTGATTTGCAACAATTCCAAGAACAGCAGTAGTTTCCCTGCTGAATACAAGCAGTCAAATTTGGGACGGGCAACAAAGCCCTATGAGGAGTGGTTGAAAGACCTGGGCATGTTTTACCTCAAGAAGCAAAGAATGGGGGAAGATGATAGCACTCTTCAAGTACTTGAAGGGTTGTCACACAGAGGAAAGCCAGGATCTCTTCTCAATCATTGTTCTGTGTCCCAGAGTGCAGGACACAGAACAATGGGCTCAAGTTTCAGGAAGCCAGGACATTCCAGCTGGACATCAAGAAGAATTTCCCAACTGTTAGAGCAGTATAACAATGGAACCAATGATCTAGGGAGGCCATGGACTCTCCCATATTTTATTTTTATTATTATTACATTTTTATACAGCCCATAGCCAAAGTTCTCTAGGCAGTTGACAGCAATAATCATAATCATACACTCAAGTCACCCATCCCACTTCTGCCCAAGCCTGACCCTGCTTAGCTTCCAAGATTAGGCAGGATCAGGCACTTCAGGCTACATGGAAGCTATTAGGATTATTCAGTATGCAACTGGACAGCCATCTGAGCAGGACGGTTTAACTTGGAGTCCTGCACTGAACAGGGGGTTCAATCCGAAAGCCCTCTAGCCCTTTCTAATTCTACTATTCTAGAATTCTATGATCAATTTTCTTCTTGTCAGCTTTCTTTACTGTCCAGCTTTCACACCTGTACATTGTGATTGGGGATACAAGGGTTTGAATGGAACATGTTGTGAGCGGAGTCAGCTAGAGCTGGAGGTCAGACTAGATGGCCCTTCAGACTCGCTCTGTTTCTATGTTTCTAAAAATCCTTATACTTGATGATATTTTCTAGTTCGTTCATTGCTGCCCTTTCTATTCTCAATCTTCTTCTAGTTTCTTGGCCACTTTCTCACTTTGAATTAATGAATGAGCTGAGGTATGTGAAATCATTCACACTTTCAATTTCTTCTTTATTAATAGTAAAGTCCTGTAATTCTTCTGTGGATGTGATTTTTATTTTCTTAATATTCAGCTGCAGTCCTGATTTTGCATTTTCTTCTTTCACTTTCCTGCTTTCCACCACTGGTATGGTATCATCTGCATATATTAAATTATTGATGTTTCTTCCTCCAATTTCCACCCCTACCTCTGATTTTAATCCAGCTTTCCTTGTGATATGTTCTGCATACAGATAAGAGAGATAAAATGCATCATTGTCTGACACCTTTGCCTATGGGAAACCATTTTGTTTCTCCATGTTGAGTCCCAACTATAGTTTCTTGCAGGGGTCAGCAACTCACGGCTCTGGAGCCGCATGTGGCTCTTTCATCCTTCTGCTGCGGCTCCCTGTCG